CACATTCATTTTCTAGTCTTAGTTGAGCAGAACTGTGAGCAAGCTCTTTGTTTATACCTCATTTGCTACCTACTTACTCATCTACACATTTATAGTCTTGCTAAGTCATCAGTCTTGTCTACCTTGCTAGAGTGACCTTGTTTAATTATCCTTTTCTTTTAGGGTTACTCTAGTATAAGTAACTGGATGATGGTGAGATCAGGCAGCTGTTCCTTTTTCTTGTCTGAGGTTAACCAGCTTCCCTTGTACTTTTTGCCATCTTTTAGCCAAACAATGAAAGCATTCACTGAAATCCCCATCCATCTCTCCTTGATGGGAAGAGATGTGGATAATCATTATTTGCTTTGATTTACTGCTCAGCCTGCCTAAATATACTTTCTCTTAGATGTTCTGTAGAAGACATTGCAGTTAGTAGTTAGCCTACCAATACTTGGGCCTAATTTTAGATATCACATTTAGTTTTATTTTTTATTCATGAAACTCTAAATGATTCATTTGAATTCTCTATGTCCATATATAGATAGATAAAAATGATACATTGATAGGTTATCTCTGAAATAAAATGTACTTTATTCTGGATTGTATTACTTTGCACTATTTGTTTTTGAAGATTCTCTTCTGGCTTTTTTTTTCATAATGCAATTGCAAATAAGTAAACTGTTTTTACTATTTTAAAGTTCTTTTGTAATTTTATTATTTTCAAAATAGCCTGTGTAAATAAAAAAAAATGATTTAAAAAAATTCCAACTTTTTTAACACGCACACACACACACACACTATTTTTCTAAAATGGTCAGTACTGACCATGTTTGCAATGAAGCTTTTTAACTAGATTAGAATAAATGGATTTGTTTATAATCATATTTGTAATTAAGGATTGTAATTTAAGTTTGTGAGGGATTTTTGTAATGACTGTAAATATTTGCATTTGGATATTTTCCTTTCCAAATATTTAGCCATATAATTCCAAATTAAGTATAAGCTAAGTATATGTGAATATAATTACATGTGTCACCATCTGTTGAATGATTTTAAGAGTTTTAGCTTGAAAAATAAAACCTACTATTCAATTAATATGGCCATAGAAGAGTTATAGTAGAATGAAAGTGATTTGGGCAAAACTAATGACTCCATAATTTAAACCAGAATGGTTAAGATATAAATGATATATATCACTTATTTATTTATAAAATGCCAGTGTGTGGTATTTGATAAATCCGTTTAATAGAGCTCTGTCTAGAAAAAGTGTAAATGTTTGCTTTTTAAATTGTTTGGCAGTTATAAGTTTAATAAAATAACCTTAATTTAACCTAAGCGTTAATCCAATTTGAATATTTGAGCATGAATTTATTTTTCCCAAGGTCAGAAAACTGTTGGAATCGAAATATATTAAATCTGAAATATTAGTGATTTTTTTTTTTTTTTTTTTTTTTTTTTTTTTAATGGAGGGCAACAAGGATCAAGAGATTGATGTGATTTCTAATTTGAGTCTTTGCTATTGAAGCAGATTAATAATGTATTATATAGAATGGAGCTTTATAAAAGTTTCAAAATTTTGATGAAAAGAAAAATTATTTCTAATAATAAAGAATCCCTGTAGTCATTAAATTCATTTTTCTTTTTTTTTAAATGTAAAATGATTTTACTGATTATTGTGTTATTATTAATTGCTTATGTAAGAGTTATTTGTAGTAATAGTATTTCAACAAACAATTTAGAAATAGTTTTGGACTCAAAAGCATACTCAAGTGTGATCATCTAGGGTAAGAGTAAAATTGCAAAAATTAGAGAAGCCCAAAGCAATGTCTAAATTGCAATTTAACAAATTCCACAGTGATTCCATTTTGCAAACAAGCAGATGCGGTTGCAACTATTAAACTTTGGAACAGCTTAGAGACTCAAAGTGGAACACCTTAAAGGAAGTACAAGTGATAACAGCAAAAGAGAAAAAGTGTATGACAGCAAAATTCTTCATTTAATGAAAAAGAGACAGCAGATAATGCCAATAAATTGTGCAGAATATGAGGTTAAAGAAAAATATTAGAAATAAGTACAAGTAAATAAATGGCTTAAGAAATAAAAAAAGCACACAGATGTAACTATTATGCACAAAAAGATAAATAGGACAGAAAAACAAGCTATTTGGAAGGATGTATAAAATCTAAAAGGAACACTCATAATAGAAGAAATAGTACAGAAATGGAATTGAAGATCTCTTCCATGATAACAAGGGAGAATTCTACATTGCATAAAAACATCTGAAATTAGGTCAGCACTGGTCAAGATAAAGACTGGCAAAAACAGACAAAATTGTAATAAATTCTGATAGCATCAGACTATTTTGGGGTTGATAAGGTTAATGAAATGATGAACAAAATATGTGATAGCTGCAGAATGAAAGTGGGGAGGAAGATCTCAGTTGATCAATCTTCATAATGCTCCTAAAGAAACCAGAACAGTCAACTTGAATGACCACATAACTAATAACTATGATTTTAATGAATAAAGCTTGCAGCAAAATAAGATCAGACGTAGAGCAAGAACAGCGTGACTTTGTTCAAGATGACAAAACAGGAAATGTGATTTTCATGACCAGATACTATTAGAACAAGCATATTTCATAGATTGCACAAAGGTATTTGACAAAGTTCATTTTAGGAAATTTTGATTTTATATGGAAAAGATATTCAAGTAATCTCTAACCTTTACTGGGGAAAAAATAGCTTGCATGCAGATAGAGAATGAGTTAAGTGGATATATACAAGCAGAAAGGAGTACTACAAAGATTTTTTTTTTTTTTTTTTTTATTGAATTTATTTAAGCTGTACAGTGAGAAGATTCTAAGAGGATATGTCAGGATTTATTATTGGTGGATGTAACCTTAATAACATACACTACACAGACAAAACTGTGTTGATACCATATTCAGAAGGAAAAATGAAAGAACTTCTATAAATTATCTATTAAAAGTAAGAAGGAAGTACTTTACATTAACAGATGGAATGTATGATTGTTAGCAACAAAAAGTTGTGCATTGAGGATATATATAAAAGAAAAATCAAGCATGCGTGAAAATTTAACTATCTGGGTAGTATAGTGAGAGAGATAATACATTCTGTAACACAAATCCAAAGATGCATTGGAATAGCAAAATATATCTTTCAGAAATTGAGTAAGGTATTGAAGGATGAGAAAATTCCTTTAGAAATAAAGTGCTGGACTGTTATGTAATATCATATAACAGTGAATGTTGGACAATTTCAGATGAAAACAAGACTTGAAGTGAGATGTTCCACTAACAAATGTTGAATGTACTTTGAACAAAGTATATAAGAAAGTTTTAAGGAGAATAAGAATTATAAAGAAACTACTACTGGCAATCAAAGGTAGCCAAAATTTTGGGAACACATAATGAAGAAAAATGGTTTAGAGAATTTAATACTCACAAAGCAAATTGACGGCAAGAGAAGGGGGGGGGAGGAAAACGGCTGGTAAATTACTTTAAGTAAATGGAAGAACAAGTATCATGAAACATAGAGGTTGTGAAGGAGCAAGAATTACAAAACTAAAAAACAGTTGTAGAGAGCCATGTTATGAAAGAACATGGCATATAGTATTGTGAACAAATTGTGATAAATACTGTACAAAATTCAGGGACTTTTATCTATGAAATTTTATTGGAACTTTTGCTTGGATTTTTGAAAAGAACATTTTTCAATTATTTTTTTTTCTTCATACTTTGAAATTAAAAAGTTTTGTACTTGATCTAGTTAAGTTGATAGTCTTTTACACTGCTGCTTTGTTTGATTAAAGCTGATATTTTGTTCTGCATACTGTAAGCATATTGATTTGTAGTTATTTTGAGCTATTAATATTCAATGCTTTTATGATTACATCATCAGCAAAGTTAATGCTACTAAAATTGAAGACGGATGGATGATTGCAACATCTATAATTGAATGGAGTCATTCATTTATTAACCAAAGTTGATTTTTTTTATTATTCTTTTTATTTCCTTTGATTTCTGGCATGTATACATTTCTTTCTGGGTCCTAAGGTTAGAAATGGCATCATGACACTATCCACTGACAAAAAAAAAAAAATTTACATAGATAAAGCCCTTCGTAAAGTGTGGGCCATACTTGTGAGAACAATTTTTTGTATTTCTTTAAGGTATGGGCTTGTCTACTGGAATCTTTTCCAACCAATCCTAGGGCTTCAACTACAACGGGGATTGTTGATGTTCCCATGTGCCACATTTTTGAGATTTTGATTTCAAGGTCCTTGTATTTTGACAGTTTTTTGAATATCTTCAAAGATACATTGCAGTTTGCAGGGACTGCCATATCAATAAGGAGGCACTTTTTTTGTTTGTGGTCTTTAATAATGTCTGGGTGGTTGGCATTGATTGTTTTGTTAGTGTGTATTGAGTAGATTATTTTATTTTATTTATTTATTTATTTATTTTTTTTTATCCCACAGGTTTATGCCAATTTGGCTAAACCTACGGGGAATTTCGAAGTGAACACTTTATTTAATCTATGGAGATAGATTGTTCTCATTCTACTGCCTATGTCTAAGGATATCTCATCTAGCTCCATAGATTAAATAAAGAATTCAGTTTGAAATTCCCTATAGGTTACCTGGATTGACATAATCCAGTTGAAGGTTGGAAGGCACGTTTGAAATGTGATAACAACAAAGATAAGGACAATAGTCCACATTTAAATAACTCCTCATCCTAGAAACTAAAGCAGAAAAAAAAAATTGTTTTTTATATTTTTAATTTTTTCTGTTTATGCAATAAACACAACTAAAATTTTGATACACCTTCCAATTTTTTTTTTTTTTTTTTTTTTTCTAAAGATCTACTGGTTATCCTTAGATTACTTTGTACATACAGTTTTCACAGGTTAAAAGTTCTATTAAAAATTGCATTTTTTTTTTCTTTTCTTTTTAATGAATTATTTTTAATCATTATTTCTTTATTTATTCTCTAGGGACGTCATACTAAGACTGGTCAGTTAGCTGCTATCAAAGTAATGAATGTAACGGAGGTAAGTATCTTTTTAGTTTTATCATAATTATTATTATGAAATGGACCTGTAGAAATTTATGGGTTTTAACAGTTAAAATTATTTGTTACCTCATGACTGCTTTCCTCTTACCCTCCACCTGTTTCTTCTCATTCTACCAATTATCCTTTCTAATCTTCATTACCCATTCATGTTTTTATCTAAATATTATACAAACATATATGGAAAAGGAATAAAGACATATATTTTCTATTGCTCTCTCTCCAGAAAGAATTCTTAATGCTGCAATTTTTATGCCCTTCTATTCTTACCTGCTTTTCAGTCATTTACTCATTGTCTCCTGATATCCAGCCAGCAAACCATTCTTTTTTTTTCCTCTATCTTCCATCCTTATATATATATATATATATATATATATATATATATATATATTTTTGTCTCACCTGATTTTTTTTTTGATTTTTTTCTCTAGCTTTTTAATGGCTACTCTTTTTTATTTCATATTATCACCCTTTCTCACCTCTTTGGGAAAAGCAAATTAATATGATGTAGGTTTTTCAGTCAAAAAGTATAACTGATGATTCAAACTTAGAAAAACTGGTGATCAGGCAGATATACTTTCATCCTATATTTATCTGCAATCCATATTCTGTGGCATGAAGTAAAACATGGGTAAAGTGAACATATATGTACATACGTGCCAAGGACAAAACTTTCACAATCTCAACGACTGTGGTCATGAAGGCTGTATAAGTACTCATCACTTGACTATGAATTGCTCTGAGACAAGAACATGGCTCTGCACCCTGTACCATATTATGGGAACATAGAAGGAAATACATTGCATGCTCATTCTAACCAAAAACTCTGAGCACAATTCTGATCCTTCAGAGTAATGCATAATGGTTGTAAATACAGAATAAAAGTATAATTAGTGGGTAAGGAAAGTTAAACCAATGAAGAACTAGGCTAAATTAACAATGATCAAATTTAGCTTTAATGTAAAGATAATTCAATTAATCAGCTGTTATTGTTAAAATGTAATTAAAATTGTAACTGAAGAAATGTTAGTTTTACAAACATTTCAGTATTACTTGAAAAATGGAAAAAGCAGTTTGTTAAAAAACAACTTTTAATTTATTAAGAAAATAATATTACCCATATGTATAGAAAAAATATTTTAGTAATAATGAAATTAGTTTTAAAAAATAAAGCTATGATAATGAACTGTCAAAGTTTTGTTTTATTAAAATATAATTTAAAGAAAATGTTGAATTTTTATGTTTTAAATAAATTTCACAATGGAAATAGAAATAACTAATTTGCATAAGTACAAAAATTAAATTGGATTCATACAAACTTAATATATTCAGGTTGGTTGTTCAAATCAAAAAGATAATTTTTCATTTAGTATGTGGCTGCAAGTGTAACATTTAAACATGGGAAGGAAAGAATAAACAGAATAATATAGATTATCATTTTTCCTTTGATTTATTTTGGTTTTAAATCAGTTAAGATATAACAAGCCATACACATTTTTTATAAAGACTTCTTGGAATAATCTTTACTTGTTATATTGCAATGCAATGGAAGTCATTTTGTATCAGTTGGATTGTTTGTGTCCTTAATTGAAATTGTAACAAAATATTTTTTTCATATTGGTTACATTTTTTCCTTTTGTACTTGTCTACTAATAAAAACAGATATCAATACTACATAGTAGTAAAATGTAAATTTAAACATTAGTGTCATATTACTGTCATTAAATTGTTTAAAATAACATTGAAAAGATAAACTAAGGTATTTTCTTATAAGCACAGCTGTAGGTTTGAGTTTCACAATTTAGTAATCTTTGTGTGGATGCACATAATGAAATAATTTTTTTTCTTTTGTTATAATAAATGAGAAAAAACTTTACTAATAGATTATTAGAAATACAAATTTTTGTTTAAATGAATTAGTTGTAAATGATACCTTTTTATTTACTTTTCAGTAGAGAAATAAATTAGTATATGCTTATTTAAAAGCACAGCAATCAATATCTGAACATTTGAGAAAGCATTAATTATGCTGTTTCTGTGTGTTTGGCTATGCTTAATTTCTTTATTTTCTCTCTAGTTTTATTTATAGTAGTTGAACTAATGTTAGAAGACACTTCCCTTCATTAGCATTTGTAGGTTTTATTTAGATTATAAACTTAATTTGTTTTTGTTTTCTCCAGAGTAACTTTTCAGTGTTTTGTGAAATCAATCTATACATATTTGGATCAGATTTTATGAAAAATTTCAGATAATCAACCAAATAAATGTAGATAGGTTGTCATTCTTTTCTTATCCTTAATACTTCATGCATTAAATAGTGGCTTTTCAGATATTTTTTTTTTTATTTCTCTCCAATAAAACCAATTCAACTTTGCCTTATATACATCCCTTTGGATGAAAAATACCTTTTCTGTAATATAGATGCAAGTTGTAGTGAACACCGTGAAATGATCCAATAATATCTAAAAGAAATTGATTGACAATGTATTAAACATTTGAATGCTGTCTATGACTTTGCTCAGGTTTATCATTCAATCATGTGCCAAGACAGCTTGATCAATACAATATGGTGGTCATTTTTTTGCCTCTGATTTTGCATGCTTCTTTGGAATGTTGATTTTTGGCTCTCTTTTACTAAGCTATCATTTCCTTGGTACCATCTCCCTTTTCTTTTTTTATATTGATGCTTCAACTTAAAGATATTCTATAGCATTTTTATGAATATATTCAGTTTTCATTTATTCTTGTTACATGTAACCAAGAATTTTAGTGATACATACAAATAGAAATATATAATCTATGAATTTTTTTATAGTTTATTTAAAAAAATATTTTTGAGATAATACTTTAAAAAGTTTATTTTATGAAAATATGTTGTGGCTTTTAAATGTCCTGTAACTATCCAGTTTTTGAACTGGAGGTATTTGGTAAATCTGTCTTTATTTATAAACTTAACCTTAGTTTGTGCATGTATTGTTTCTTCTCTTTAATATTTGCCTTGGTATAACTGTGATTTATCAAAGTAACCCAGAAGTTAAAAGAAACATGACACTTGGATTGATTAGTTTTTGGGTAAACAAGGGTAATAGTTAATTGTACCAATTAATTCTAATTGTTCAGTCAACTCTTAAATTGCTGTTGTTTAGACGACTATTTAACTAGTTAAATGAGAGCAATTTTTTTTTTTTTTTTTTTTTTTAAACATGTAATTAATCTTACAGATAATCTATAAAAAAAAAAAAATTGATATGAGGCAAAATCCTCTTTCTAGATTCTTGCTCTTTAATTACAATACTATCTGTTCTTAGTTCAGTGATATTTACATCATCTTTAGATGCTGGCTTCAAATCCCTCCATCACTAAATTGTTTCAATGTCATGGTTCACATCTGAAATACTTTATACATCTTTCATGTTGTTAAATAATCTGGCATTTTATTAAAGTAAATTGACTTGCTAGGGTCACACCTCAATATTTCTTTTCTTTTTTTTTAATATTTTTTGTGATGAACAAATCAAATGTTATATTAGGTGAAGTAGTTTCATGTTGATATTAGATATTAAGTTATTGCACAATTTTTCTTAAATTGTACATTGAATAGCATATCTCATTGTAACCACTTGATGATAATGGAGAAGTTGAAAATATCTCATTGATGTCAATTATTTATTTTTGGCTGAGTTTTTATTCTTTCTATATATGGAGAAAACTATTTCAGAAGTCTTTTGAGTATAAGGTTCTCAGTATTTGTTACATATTGATCATTTAGCAGAAGGAACATTTCAAAATTGATGCTCAGAGCAAAATGTTATTGCAAGACAGCTGATATATTTTACTTATTTTTACTTTTGACATGCGTTTATAAATTTCTGCATTTATTTTAGACATGCAGATTTATTGGATTAAAATTTAAATCATATTACATTTTTTCATTATTTATAATGTTTAAATTTATTCTAATGAAGTGATTCCAACTAAAAATTGGTGTATGTCTTTCACCCTGTGCAATAATTCAAATCATGATAAGAAATATAGCAAATTCTACTCTAGAAAAACTAATATTTTTATTAATAATATTCAAAATATTAGAAACGGTAAATTTTCACTACAGATTACTAATGGTGCACATTATGTAAACAAACTTATTTAATCTTATAGAATAGGAATTATTTCAGACTTTTTCAAAGATTAGTAAATGTTTAACATTGAAAAATATTAATCATGATTTTAGTGCATTAATTTGTCAACAAAAAATAATTTAAATACTGTATGATTTGTGAAGCTCTCAGTATGCCAAATATTTTATTAGTGCTCTGTTTATATATGTGTCAGTCTTTCTAAAATGAACTTGAATATTTATATTTTTTAATATAATTCAGATATTAATACTGGATAAAGTTTATCTTTTGATAGTTACTTTAATCAAAATCATTTTGAATTTGTGATCAGATTCTTGTCTATACAGTTTCTGTGAAATTTTATATTGACAAGCTCATAGAAAATTTAACTTGATTCACTGTTAAAAAGTTATATAAAAAATGAATTCAGTTGGCACAATGAAAATTGATAAAACTATTACTGTTAAGTAATGAAATCCTGTATCAAAATATTCATTTGCTTTATGAATGTGTACTGATATAGTAGATGCTGTCATCAGATTTTGGAAATGTCTGCTTGTGAAAAATATCTGTTGCAATTTTTGAGATGAGTAATTATCATGTCTTTCTACTTTAATTATATCAATCTTGATTGTTATATTTTGGCCATTCTAGCTACCTTCTATTCACTTTTGTGTCACTTGTCTATTTCTTCCACTCATCTAGAGTATGATTTCTTTGCACTAATTAACCTAAGAATTGAACTCTCAACTGCCAGGAAACTTGATATGTTTTAACCAACACTTTAATCTACTAGGTTTCTTGGACAATCCAGTGATGTAATTTTAGAGCCTTAAGTCCACATTCAGGTGATGGAAATTTT